GTGTGTATTTGACTTTCTCTTTGGTAAGTATATATCATTTTGTATTTATTAGACTTTAAAATTATATGTCTTTTGATCTTCTATGGATACATTTTGCATTAAAATTGTGTTTCATACTTTCATCCTTTATGAATATGGTGTTTTTATCAATTCTACCACTTGATTGTTGCCGTGGGGTTTAAAATGGATGCATTTTTTGTAAGCATTTTCTTCTACCACTTGATTATAGTTGTGAGGTTTATAATTTCATTCTTTAAAGCATTTTTATACTAACTTTGACTGCCATTCTTTATGTTTGCACAGGTTAGCTTTTGAGGTAGCGAGTAGATTTTGATTAGATTTTTTAAGTACATATTAGAAATCAATTGGGGTTTTAGGATCTAAAACTTGCAACAAATTATTGAACAAACTATTGAATGCTACATTAGGAATCAATTTGGCATAAAAGCAGAAGACTGAAGTTATTCTCAGACTTGAGTAAAGAAGATTCAAATTGCGCATGGAGAAGAAAAGGACAAGATGATGAATGCAACGAAAAAGTGCAAACGATTATTCAAAAATTTCAAGAAATACGACCGACACAAGGAGGAGCAGTTATACTGTAATAGATTCAAATGAAGAATGACACCCTATAACATTTAGGTACAGTTGTTAGCTTAGTTATTTCCTTTATATGAAGATATTTAGTAGATGTTTTAATTAATTGTATATTTTTGATACATACGAAATACAATAATATGATTATTGCATTCTATTTTAACATGAATTAAGCTTGTTATTATTTAAAATATTTTTTTTATTTGAATCTTTTTCTATTTTTTATTATTAAAATAGAAAATATTGAAAAAATTGAACGAAAAATTGAATTAATGAATAAATGGAGCTAAGCTTTTAGGGACGGCACATGCCTATTAGGTAGCATTTTTCTGAGACGCGGGAAACTATGCTTTTGGGGATGTGTCGTTCTGTAAGGTTTTGGGGATATGGCGTTCCCAAATGTTTTTAGGACGTATGAACCCTAAAAGTTTAGGTGGCATGTTGTCTTAAAAAGTTTTAGTGACGTATCATCCCAAATAGTTTTTAAGGTGTTATGTCTTTAATGATTTAAATAATACTTTATCCTTAAAATCTTTTTTAAAGGGACTTTATGTCTTTTAAAGTATGAGGTACGAGTGGTTTTAAAATTTTGGTAATTGTATCGTACCAAAAACTTTTAGGAATCAAAATTACGTCCTCAAAGCCTTTCGGCAGGCCACCTTAGAGAATGACCACAGGGACACAATAATTTGTCCCCAATACCTTTGGGAACAAATTATAACGCCTATGGGATGATTACTGTCATCCCTAAACATCATTTCTTTTTTTTTTTTTAATATCATTGTGCTTAGTCTAAGAACATATGGTTTTTACTCGAGAGATAATAGTTCTTCTCTATTTGACTTGCGATATTTAACTTATTTAGATTTCAGTTCAAATAATGTTAACTTAAGTCATATTCTTGACTCTATTAGTTCACTCAATAAAATACAATATTTTGACCTTTATTCTTGTAATTTAAGTGGATCTCTTCCTAATTAGCTTGTAAACCTCACAAGTTTGCAATAGCTTTGAGTTATAATTAATTCAATATTGAAAATCTTGACAGCCTCTCTTATCTTTCTTCCTTGAAAAACCTAGATTTGAGTGGAAATGACCTTATATAAGGTTAATAATTATTGGCTACAGGTAATTAATATAAGTTTCCTCATCTAACCACCCCATCTCTATTTGGTTGTAATCTTGGAGATGTTGTTCCTTAGTCTTTCCCCATAATTAATACTTCTAGTAATTCTCTTGCTCTCCTTAACATAGGAAGCAGTAATTTGACCGCTCAAGGTCCAATTCCAGAAACTTCTAGTCACATGACTTTCTTGGAAGAGCTAAATCTTGATGGTAATCAATTTGAAGGAGAGATATTCCAACATCCTTTCGGAGTTGTAATTTCTCATCATTGAAAACCTTGACTCTTGCACACAATAAATTGAATGGTACTATACCCAAAAGTATTGGACTACTGTCAAAGCTTGAGTTGTTTGGTATTTCTTTCAATTCTTTTAATGGGGTGATTATTGAGGCACACTTCTTGACACTATCTAAGTTATCATGCATGGGCATGTATTCTAGTCATCTAAGCATCAACTTTAGGCGAGACTGCATTCCTCCATTCCAGTTGGAATATATAGGTCTTGGGTCTTGCAAGTTAGGCCCTAATTTTCCTAGCTGGTTACATAGCCAAAGGAATTATTGGGGTCTTAATATTTCTGTAATTGGAATTTCAGACAGCATCCCCATCTGGTTTGGTAACCTACCTTCCACAGCACGAGCTATAGATCTTTCAACCAGATCAATGGAATTCTTTAAGATTTTTCATCTAATTCTGATGCCTTTGTGATAGATTTAAGTGGAAATCATTTGGAGGGTCCTTTACCATCATTTCCTGCTAATACCATGCACATAAACCTCTCAAAAAATAGGTTTAATGGTTCAATTTCCTCTCTTTGTGCTATGATTGGTATGTCACTTGTGTTCCTTGATCTTTTGGACAATCAACTCTCTGGAGTGCTTCTTGATTGTATGATGCATTGGTCAAGTCTATAAATTTTAAATGTGGCTAACGATCAGTTCTTTGGAAGAATTCCGAACTTTGTGGGAATTCTTTCTTGGATTGAAACATTTGATTTGCAAAATAACAGCTTCTTTGACGAAATTCCTAGCTCTTTAAAGAATAGTAGTGGATTGCAATTTTTGGGATTGAGTAATAATAGCTTATTTGGAATAATACCAAATTAGATTGGGGAAAGTTTAATTTCACTAAATTTCCTCCACCTAAAATCCAATCATTTTGTTGAAGAAATCCCATAGGAGCTATGCCAATTGCCAAATATTTTGCTGTTGGACCTCTTTGACAACAATCTCTTCGGACACATACCATGGTGTATTTGTAATCCAACTACTTTGGCCAGAGAAGGCATTTTAGCCAAACATCATTTCTTTAACTGTTCCCTTGTTAGTAACGAATATTATGATTATGAGGAAGCTATGCCGATGAAGCATCTTTCATATGGAAAGGAAAAGAATATCATTATGAAAATCTCTCACTTCAAAGGATCATTGATCTTTCAAGCAACAATGTAACAGGAGGAATTCCACTCCAATTTCAATTGAACTTATCAAAAAACCATTTGATTGGAAGGATTCCACCAGATATTGGGCAAATGGGATAGTTGGAATCACTTGATCTTTCACACAACATGCTTTCAAGTTGGCTTCCTTCAAGCATGTCCAAGTTACAGTTCCTCGTACCTTGGACCTGTCATATAACAACTTTTCTAGGAGAATTCTATCCGGTACTCAAATGGACACCTTTAATGCTTTTGCATTTATTGGTAATCCTGGACTATGTGGACTTCCTTTATCACAAACATGCCCCAATGATGAAAAGCCTACGGATGGTGGTGTCAAATACAATCAAGACAATGAAGAAAAATTCTTTAAACTAATCCTGTATAACAACTTCATTACTTAATTTAGAAGAATAACAGAGCATCTCCCCTGTTATTATTGCTTTTCCGGTTCAAGATGCTCATCACCTTCAAGCACTCATCCTGCAAAGTGAAATGGCACAATCCCAATGTGCCCCAAATAGAAGGGTAGGGACAAATTTGTATTTTGAAAAAAAGATAGCGATAAATTGTTTTTTAAAATTATTAATTAAGATAAATTATTTATTATTTAATATATGACGTTATTACATATAAAAAATGTGTGATAACATTACATATTAAATAATAGATAATTTATTTTAATTAATAATTTTAAAAAAATATTATTTTTATACTTTTTTTTGAGAGGTGAATCTATTTTTTACTTTTTTTGTTTTTTTTTTTTAATTTGAGAGACAGACTTAGGATTTTGGCAAGTGAAATTCTACTATTTCTACTCAGCTACCCCAGCAACAATTCCAGCCTGTCCTTTCTTTTTCTGTGTATTTAGTCAAAGGTGTGTTTAGATGGTGTTGGGATAGCAGCCCAGTAACTGCCCAACATCTTTGCACCTTGAATAACAGCCCAGTGGTGCTCCTATGCTGGTCCAAGGTTGCATGTCAGACCATGGAGGCCCATTTCTATAGCACAATGAGTGAGCCAATGAGGATTGGATCGTCTGTCAAAGCAGGACAATTATTAGTTTATTACCCCACACCTATTACCTCATGGGTAATAAATAACAATCTCAATCAAGTCTCTTTGGAATATATAGAGTATAATTGAGTTGAGTTTTGCGGTGTTTACCTCAAAGATATTTCTTAGACCTATAGTTTTGCAGGTACATGAGTCAAACCAGGTCAAGATTTGATTCACAACTCGACCTGGATAATTCCTACATTAACAGATGGCTTGTAACTTTTTTTTTTATCTCTTCGGATAGTTTGTAATGACTAGCTTGAAATTGAGATGCAATCTGAATTCTATGACCCCTAATTCGATCAATTTTGATGCAACTGATGTACGTTTCTTTCACATTTTTTATTTTCTTCTTTAATTGAATTTTCAATTTTCTTACAAAATGTTTATGAATGCACGATATAGAAACAACACATACAAGTTTATATTTAAAATTTAAAATTTAAAATTTTAATATTAATATAAAGATAATTTTTTTTAATGATCTTATTTTTAAATAATAAAAAAAATGGACAACATTTTTGTGTCCTAATAAACACTATCATGTTATAAATGATTTCTCATGCTCTAATACGACGGTGTGATATTTTTTTTATTAAATTACAATTTTTTTAAAAGAATTCGAATTTCATCCTCAGAGGCTACTTATAAAAATACCTATAGCCATGTTCGCGAAGCCAAGTGCGGCATTTGAATCCACCCCAAATGTTGAAAAAATAATCAAAAGAAATATTAGTGTACGGCATTTTCCCTTAGAAAAATGGAAAAAGTGAAGTACTCAGAAAAAATAAATAGAGTGAAAAAATGGAAAAGAAAGGGTTTTAGGCTGTGGGTGGAGCATCGAACATTGTTTTATCCTCTCTCTCAGCATCCCTTGTTCCCTCACAAAAATGACGGAAGTTGAGGGTCTGAGGTTCCAGTCGTGAATCAAACGGTAATTTCTTTTCTCTCTTCCCCAGTTCTCCTGTTTCTTTCATCCCCAGAAATCGCAAAACTAGATAATCAATTCTTTTTTCCGTGGATAATTCAATAAATATTCTATAAACTCATGGGGTTTCAACCTTTTTCTTTCAGGTTTTTGAGTTTAAAGTGCTGCTGGTTCGCATCAAAGGGAAGGTCTTGATTTCTCTCTCAAATGGGTATGTTATGTGCAAGCTCAATATTTTAATGGAAACAAAAATACAAGCTATTCACTTCTTTCTGTGTTTTTGTTTGTTGTAAAAAGGTATAGCTCTACCCTTACCAAATCCCTCACCAACCAATGATTACAAGATTGGAACTTCAAACCTCCAACAGTTCAAGCTTTTAACCACTCCGTTGATTCTTAGTGGACTCGAGTCATTGTAAGATAATGAATTATTTGCTTGTTATTTTAATATTTCGAGATTCTAAAGGCCAAAGTAGATAATTTAGTATCAATGATGTCATTAAGGTAACAGAGGCAAACTCCAGAACCATAAAATAGGTAAGAAAAGTGGCTTAATTCAAACTATTATCACGAAAGGAGCAAATATAATGCTTCTGACCACTTTCACCTAAGAAAGTTGTAATGAAATTTTTTCCTAACTTGTCTTAGAGAGAGCAGCTAATTTAGTAGATCAATAGCAAAATAGCCTTCACTTCCTGATCTCTTTATTACAACATCTACAAACCTTCCAATGAAGTGTTTATTTAATCTGAGCAGGTCCCATTGGTCCTTAATAATTTGTTGATAGCCTTCAGCATTTTGACCTTAGTGGCTTAGCCACTAAATGCTATATTCTGGTGTTTCTCTTTGTTTTCTTGGTTACATTCCATTCCTATCACATTGAGAGAGTGATATGAAAGCTTTAAGCTTTATGACCTTTGATAGTAATGATTTTATGGGATGTTCGTTGGACTGTTCCACTGTCTCTGATCTTTTAACAATTATATGTTGTCAAAATAACAAACTTGGTTTGTCTTTCCTTTTTTTCTTCTTTGGCACCATCTAGCGCTGTACATATTTGATTTTGTTAAGTTAGTCTGTTTTGGTGGTTGTGTCTTTTGTTGTGCAGAGTTGTCGGCTGTAAAACTATACCAAGTTGCTGAAACCTCATTGCTTGAATATCAAATGTTTTATTAGTATATAGAGGGAGGCCTAGGTTTTCGAAACTTTCTTGATTGGAATCAGCTAGGGGTTCGAGGAAGCAAAAGCATTTATTGTGATTGAACTGCTCATGAACTTGCTTTTATGCTTTGTTTGTTGAATGGTGGGTTAACTTTAAGATATTATTACGACTTATAAAAATGGGTTTTCATTTTTAGCTAGATTAAGTCCATGTGTAAAAGTAGTTGGATCAGGAAAACTAGAAAACAGAGTGTGGTAGCTCCCACTGTTTTTCATTTAATTTCCTTTAGAAGAATTCAGTGCACATTACTAAGTTCTACAATCCATTATCTCTTAGAAAAAAATACATACTTACAGGAGAAACAAGGAATCTGGAGAAAATTCCAACTTATGGTGGTTACCAAGTTGTCCTCATATACATAGTCCACTTACAATGAAGTAATTGGATTCTTTCTTGACTTGTGGTGATCACGAAGTTGTCCATTCATTGCATCATTTTTAATTCTTTTATGTTCCTTGTTGACATTGTTTAATCTATGTGTTTCATTGCAGCTATTTATATGCACAAGCAGAAAGGTTCTGAAACTCAAATAGCAGAACCAAAAGGTAAAATTTGGACCACTTTTCCCTGACAGTTTTCATTTTTGTTCAGCTGAATTAATCTTGATTCTGTTCTTATCGCTGTAAATGAATATAATGGTTTTGGATAAACATAAATTTGAATTTTCTTTTAGGTTTTTGATTTAAGGAGCTCCTACTCATAAATCAAACGTCAAGTCTTGTTTTCTGTTGCATGGATGCTTCCAAGAGAGGAAACTAAAATTTCCAAAGTTGATTAATTCAATCCTGTCTTGTTTTCTAGCTTGAGAGAAAGAGACCAGAGTAGGCAAGTCAACAAGTCAATGGTCTTCCATTGCTTTTAAGTTAACTTAAGCGTGTTCCACACTCTGATTTGTATTGTTGAATTCTAAGATCAAACCATATGGCCCACTGTACCTTTCAGTTCAAAATTTCCAAATTGTCATCTTCCTTAGGTTAGACTTTCATAGCTTTATAACCTGTTTTGTGCTAAACACATGATAAGATAAGAATTATAGGGTTCTTTGAATCATACTGTCCAAATAAGTAATTTTTTTTAACACAATCATAGTCCAAATAATTACGTACACCCATAATTTCAACATAACCATTTCACACTATCATGTTGCATCACTTCACTGAAAATAACAGAGTAAATCACCTGAGGAGGTTGTTTTAAGTTTCAATATGCTTCTTCACACTTCGAGGACTCAACTTATCTATTCTGTCTTGCTGGTGTAATGATAATAACAAATAACACATCAAAATCTGTTTGTGTGGTTTGTATCTTCTATTGTAAGAAGAGCTAACTGCAGCTTGCTATGAAACTAGATAGGACTACAATCTGAGTTCTGATTTATGTGTACTAAATTATGATTTATGTGTGTTTTATTGTATCATTTTGGTGTTTTGCTTGTTTGATTCCAGCATCTAGTTTGTAAGGAATGGACAACAAGCTATTTGCAACAGAAATAAGACTGAAATCTGAATTCTGCAAGTTTAATGCTCTTATTCTTAGAGATCTGTTTAGTTGATAGAATGGTTATTTCTTAATCATATATAAAAATGAGATTAATTACATAGAAATCATGTTAATGATTTTTTTTTTTTTAAGGAGCCCCTGCTTATAATTAAAATCAAAGGTCAGTCTTCTTTTCTCTGTTGCATTCTCAATAACTTTGATAGGATGCTTCCAGGAAACAAGATTTCCAAAGTTGGTTAATTGACTTGTGTTTTCA